TTTAAATCAGATTTTGTCGTATATCAACATATTTTAACAATAATTCTCCGCACGACGCCGATGTTCCGGAACAATAGCAGGTGTTTAACAACAATTGTCATTTGCATTTATAAATGATTATTCAACATCGGCATGTCGGAGGCTGAAGGCTGAAGGCTGAGGGACATTGTGGGACATTTTATGTCCACAAAATTTCATTTACGAATAAATACTCCAACGTATTTTTTGCAAATGTTATGCAATTCAGATCTATGTAAAGTGTAAACCCAACAACGTCATATGTAAATTCTATTTAGGCAGAACGTTATCTTTTGTCCCACGTTAAGACTTAGTAGTTCTCGTGCAAACCCGAATGGATTGCTAGTATCGTATTAAATGAATGTAACAGTGTTATAATAATATTTCTCACTTACTTTTGATAACTGCCGTAAACCTACTCCAGCGTTCGGCTCAGAATTACGAATCTCAATTAACTGAGCTTAGTGTAATCTCTGCCAGGCTTGTTCATATTTATTAATATCATTATTTCAACCATTTTATTATATCTAGAGATACTAAAGTAAGGGAATTGTTGAAATTACATTTTGGTATAGTTTATTAATATTTGTCTTAGAAGCCTCATGTCTTATCTTGAATGTGAGGTTTCGTATTTTTGCATATGTTGTTTTTTTTTAACATTCATCAAAGTTTTCTTAGATTCTTTGAAAACGGTTACAGTTTTTGCTTAACTGAACTTAATTCACCTGAAATAAACTGCTTCTAAAAGACAAAGATTCAAAATGAACGCCAAATGGAAGAAACACAATTAGTTTGCGAGTCTTTAAGACGGCGCGCCATAAGTCCGAGAGACAGGCGGCCGCCCGCTCGCTGCTCGCTGCTCGCCGCTCGGAGGGATATCGACTAGTTGTGTATTCTCAGAGCACCCCTTAACCATTAATAGCTTGCTTTGCAGCTTCCCTACTGTAATCGTTAACCTTAAACGAATACTGACTTTACTGCAACAATTTCTCTTCAATCCTGTTTACCCGAGAAACTTGTTGTAATACTGTTCTGTATGTATCTCTACTTTAATTAAAACTCTCTTATCAATATCGTATAAACATTTTGCACATATCGACGTGTACCGGAATCGTTGAAGCCGTAAATATTACTTGATACTTTAGCATGAGGCATAAATAAATGAATCGCGAGCGGGTCGCGGTGATCCAATGCTCCCGAGATAACTGGACGTGAACAATCGCGGACATCGACAACGACCAGCGACGGCCGACAACAACGCACATTTGCATTTATAAATCATTCATGAACGGCGCGGTGCTGTCCGAGAAAACATTTTGCGTGATTGTTCTAGTTACAATTTTGATAACTGTCAATACTGCTTGACAGAGGATAGGAGACGATTTTGGTTTGTTCGATTCAATTTACACAATAGCCAAAGAATTCCTTTTATTCTTTTTACCGCCAGTGATTAATTACGTCATTTTGCTTAGTACAGTTTAATAAATACGTGATGGTAGGAATTATCAGTTAAATATCAAAAGTAAGAAAATAACAACATTTCAATTGGAATTAAAAAGTTTGTGATGAATTAGGTTCAGTCTGCAATCGAGTGCACCTATTTCGAGATGATCGCTGAGAGCATTTTTCAGCGACTAAAATTGAACTTCGCTAAAAGCTCCGGCAAATTGACTGAAAGCTACTAAGTGCAATGACGCACTAACTTTCTCTCTACTGTTAAGTAATCAACTCGTTTCAAATGGGAAGCGAGCTAATGTGGCAATAATTCAACATCAATATCTGACATTTTGACGTTAAATTTCACTTATCTTCTCACAAACTTTACTCACGGCATCTCTAGTTTCTCTAACTTCAACTTTAAACCTAAACAATTAACAGTACTGTACCGATATAATCTTTAGTTTGCCTTCTTTCAGTTAATATAACTGTTCAATTTGCGTGGAGTACATCAAATAGCAATGAAAGTCGATGAAACAGAAGTTTACATTAAAACGGGCGGGAGTATTTGCCCAGAGCTGTCGGATAATTGGAACTCAAACAGGCAGAACTCCGCGACGTCCTTGTAAGCACGTTTCAATTGTAACGTTAATCCATTCTCATACACTTACAGTAGAGGTCTGTGTGACTGCTGACGTCACGTGAACGAGCTCGGACCTCTTATATCAACGATAATGTCCATCTCAAAAGCCAATTGATATTATTTTATATTCAGGTATAAAAATACTACTTAATATAAATTCTACTTATGTTAATATTGATAAAGTATTTTACTATGATAGAAGATATGACATAGTAGTATTTTCACTTTCACTTTTATTCAGAAACTGGTTCTTATTTACTTTCCAATATGACTTATAATTTTTGTACAAGAGTTTTGAATTTCTACTTATTTAGTCTATCTAACTATGTCTATGATAATAGATATCCATGTAATAAACTTTACAAGGCGTATTGCTATAAAATCAAGGTTTCTATAAAATTGTGAAATGATTTCGTTGATAAGCAAAGTTAGTTTGCGAGCGGGATTGACCCGCGCCTTATCTAATACGAGCCTATCGTTTCTTTTAGGCCCTCCGACCCTCCATTTGGTATAAGTGACGCGCAGTAGCGTTACCAGAAGTTTTAGTAATTCCTTATTAAAAATACACTTGTAAATACATTTTTTTTTCTAGTCATCTTTTAACATTGCATAGCTTCAAGAGTGCAGGTAACCGTAAACTTTAATCGGATTATTCCACGTTTTTTCTTTTTCATACTAGTTTCAGAATCATGTGAAAACACCAGTAACGTTTTAACTGTAGAATCTCCCGTACAAACGGTTAAAAGCCTCGGTTTTCAGTCGGGAACCGATTTCAACAAGATTTTCACCATTTACGAAATAAAGTGAAAACTTGTGTTAAAAATTTTACTTTCGTTTTAGCTGGTATGTAAAAAATGTCCAAAGCGTCAGAGTACAAAGAAAAAAATATTTTATCTACGAGTATAGTGAATTTCTAACACTCAAATATGTATTCTTTCTCTATCAAAATACAAGTATACTAAATAGAATACTTCTAGTAAGTATACTACAAAATATATTTGCTTCGCTCGAATTTATATTCAAGTGGCAAGCGACACAAATAATATTCAATATTAACTACAAGCCTAACATTCCCTAAGCTTTAAATGAAAAAACTTTTATAATTTTCTGTTATTTTACACTTGCCCGACTGACAGGTGGGTTATTTAAGTAACTTCGAATTTACTTTTACATTAGCAGTTTAAAAGTACCACGAAAAATAAAACAAAATGTTTTTAAAAAGAAAGATTGTAAACAATAATAAATGTGTTCTTGTGTCTTTATCAATTTTGATTTGAGCAGCGAGCAGAAAACTCGTGGTTGGTGGCTGACACTATGATACGGTGGTAACAATATAAATGCAAATTGGAGCTGCAGCGCGGACTTAGTCGCCGGAGCGGCCCTAACGACATTTTTAATGACCCTGTTTGTGCACTTAATGTACTCTATTAGGACTAATAAAGTGTCGTCTGCATGATAGCCTTCTGTAGTAAAATAAGTATTTTCATTAAAGTTATTTGTCACATGTAATCACACTATAGAAGAAAAGAGCATTAGTTTGCTTATGTTGCAAAACTTGTTAGTCCTTCGAGCTAGATATTGTTGGTTTCGATCACGTATAAAAAATAGATTTTTGTACCTCGTGGCTAAAAGAAATAGTTACAATTATAAAGGCATTTTCGACGACATTAATCAAAGGCAAAAAGCGTGTCTATGTGCGAGTGTAAAGAACAAATGAAGTGAAAAGGTTACGCGGGCTGCGCGGCCGGAACGCCTACGTCTACTAAAAATTTATTCGAATTTTCGTTTGCCCGCGGCTTTGGGAAAACAATTTGAGGAAGATACCACAAAATTGTTTCGCTGCTTTTTTTGGTAATAGAATATTTTATAAAATCGTAACCGTCCCTCGTGAGACAGACGAATGAACGCTAGTATTTTTTTCCCTCCGATATTCTCATCGGCTTATTTCGCAAACTGAAATAGATACGATGAGCAATATGAAAAGATACAATTTAGTACAAAACCTTTTATGAATCTAAATTGAGCAAAGTTTCAAATTAATATCTTTGATGATGAAATTTTTAAATTTCCACTTCAATTATAAAAATAACCATATAGATTTATTTCAAATTGATATTTTGTCTAAATTATTTTGTTGAAGTAATAATACTGTGTTTATCTTATTAACTAATTCTAAAATAAATAAGTCTGTTTTGCGTGACTAACTATATTTGAATGCTGATAACAGATGCGTCAACAAGTCACTAAAGCATCTCTTTTGATTGTGTTTACCAATAAACCACATGTTACTATCTACGGCAAGTTGTAGTGACAAGATGCAGATATTGAGACATTGTACAACACAACAACAGCAACTTGTATGCGGTTCATGTTGTTTATTTATTGGTTGAGTTGCAATGCGAGGAGGAGGCTTGTATTTGCTCGCCTAGTCTCGTAGTCTCGTCGTATCAGTGTTTCTATTTTGATATCCCTCGTATTGTTTGCTTTAGACATTGAGAACGGCATTGTTCAGAAGTTTAAATTATATTTTACTATGTGAACATTGCAATGCTGACAAATGAGAAAGTATTAAAATCAATGCAATGATTGTTCAAAATGTTAAACCAGCTAAAGTACAATATAAAATAATGAATCCGAAGTAAAAATTAAAAGTGTTTCTCTGAACATTTTGCAATGTCCTCCGCTGCCATTCTGACCAGTTGTATGTCATTATACATTCAATATTTAAAACTGCCCAAGCCCCGGCGGCGCTGTGATTGACAGGATAACGATGTAATTGCAGGCCGTCGTTTAATCGCCATTTGTCCATCACTGGTCGCAGTCGACCACTGTCAAAATCATGCGCAAAATGAGAATTGACTTTTAAATTTATCGTCTTACATTTGTCACTCCAAATGCAAAAATGGAGGTGAGCACAGCACAAACTACCCGTTTATATTACATTTTGTATTACTAATAAATGGTAATATTTCCGAAAGTTTCTGTCTATGTTTCAGATGCTGCTACTCTTATATCTGTTACTGAGGCTGCAAGTGATGGCGACGTCTCCGGCGCTGATTGCTGATCTATCGCTGGCTTACTTCCAATATCGGGACGTGCGGCATCTTTGTTATATATCTTGCAAGACGTTTGCTGGTAGGTTAAAGTATTTTATATTGTATATAAACAAAGTTTATCAGTGCTATAATCCTGTGCATATTATGTTGCAGAAACTAAAAGTATAGCCAACAATTTTATTGACCAAGGAATACGGACATCAGTAGTAATGATTGACGACGAAACTAAATATCTGGAGCCAGCACTAGGTTCAAACTTTCCTCTTGGAGTATTTCTGGACGCATCTTGTACACACGCACAATCAGTACTTACGGAGGTACCAATATTAAATATTATTTATGATTTATAATCTTCAAGTTTATGCATTCTTATAATCTCATAATACAGGCTTCAAGAAGGAATTTATTCGACGCCCTTCATATTTGGTTTCTCATTAACTATCCAGAAAACAAAACTACGAGTAGTGAAATAGATTTGGAAGCTAAACATTTCTTTTTCGGACTTAATTTGAGCGTTAACACTGACATTGTTCTTGCTAACGATAGAGGTTGGTATGAGTTTTTATTATTATTTAGTTAATCTACAATAATGATTTTTTTTAAATACTACATTTAAAAATCCGAAAAAAAAAATTCTAACTTACAGGAGACTACCATGAATTAATTGATATATTTAATTACGGCAAAATTCAAGGCAACGGTTTAGAGTGGAAGCAGATTGGAAGTTGGAATGAAAAATACGGTATATTAGATCATTTTATTGTTGAATTTGTGGGACAAAGCAACAGTAATAAAAGTCATTTATGTTATCTCCTTATAGGAATATTGACATTTTCAAATAATTACAAATACAAAGATCGTTGGAATTTTCACAATTTAACATTAAGGGCGGTGTCAGTGGTAAGCATTATTTTCATGCAATAGTAACTACTTGTATTACAGTTACCTAAAGCGTATTGTGTTGTAGATATTGGAGCGCCCCGAGGTGTTCAAAGCGACGATGCTGACAGAGGCGGGCTACACGGCCGGTGTGTCCGCCATGACAAAGGTGGTCGCACAGCTACTGCACGTGCTTATACAACAACATAACTTCAGGTTAGTTTCCTACCGCACTCAGAGTTAAATAGGCACTAAGGAAGACCTTACTATTCTTATTACAGATTCAACTACACTATAGTGGGTCGCTGGATCGGCTCACCCGAGAGGAACTCCACTTTGGTAAAAATGTTTAAGAGCTTTATTTTCGTTTTGCAAAATTCTATTAAAACTTGATCTTAAACATGTATGTTCAGGCCGTCACTAATTCCTTGTTCTGGGGCGAACAAGACATATCGTGTACTTGTGCGAGGATATTTCCCGAGTGGCTTAATTGGGTCGATGTATTCTTCCCCGCTACAACTACCCTTGAGTAAGTGTAAAGTATTTTACTTTAGTTACGAAAATATGTTATTTCATTAGTTAAACTCCTACATTGCGAAATAAAATAATATTTTATACCTGACGATCTTAGGTATTAATGTAAATTATTATTATTTCATTTAATTGTAAGTTATTATATAAACGACTAAACCAATCTTTACGAGTTAATTATGCAGTTGGTCAAGTCGGGAATTTACTAGGAATCAAATTTATGCTCATTTGTACAACTATTAGGACGAAGTTCTACTACCTGATACCGGACAAGGGTGTAGGGGACTACGAGAACCGTTTCTTGACTCCGATGTCCGTGGGCGTGTGGTGGTGTGCGTGCGCGGCGGGCGCGCTGTGCGTGGCTGTGCTGGCAGCCGGCGCGCGCCTAGAGGCCAGGCCAGAGCCACATGTGTACGCCTTTTTTAGTGTCTTCGCGACTACTTGCCAGCAAGGTTAGTGATCACAAGAAGTAACATTTCTCTTGATCTAAGATTAATTCAATGTAACTTTACTTACTGAAAAGTGACGTACTACCATTACCACGTAGCATTTGTATTCCATTATACCTTTTACAAATATTGATTTCTTTACAGAGTATGAAGACGGAGTTCAAGCATCACAAGCAAATTTCTCTAGTCAAGGTCCGATTGCATATAATATTTATTGTCAACATTCTTGTTAGTATTCACGTCTAGATTATTTAATTGTAAAAGATATCCTTTCGACCTGCCTAGGGCGACGTCTTATACTCCTCGTAGTAGGTCTTACAAGCATGTTGCTGTACAACTACTACACCAGCAGCGTGGTCTCGTGGCTGCTGAACGCCGCCGCGCCCACTCTGAACGACCTGGATACATTGATGAATAGTGATTTAGAACTTATATTTGAAGACATCGGATATACTCGAGGATGGCTCGATGTATGTATGAAAGAAGGGACGAAATGAAATGTAAAACTATGTTGTCTAAAATAATCACTTAATTCTATGTTAAACAGAATCCTGGTTTCTTTTACTACAGCGGTCATAAAAACCCAAAAGAAGATGAATTAAGAAATAGAAAAGTAATAAATGCCAAACGAACTGTACCACTGCTGCAGCCAGTGACCGCTGGAATAGAACTAGTGCGCACCGGGGGTGAGAATTTGCATTGATTTGTATTGTTAGTGATTCACAAAAAGTCGCTATAATTTTCATACAATTTCTGGTTGACGTTACGCATGTTTTTAATTGACTTAAAACAAGAAATGTTTGATCTGATAAATTTGCTATGAACAGGGTATGCGTACCACACGGAGCCGTACACGGCTTACCAGGCAATATCCAAAACGTTCGACGACACAGAGCTGTGCAAGCTGGGATCACTGCAGATGATGCAGCCCGCGCAGGTCTACATCATGGCGCAGAAACGAAGTCCCTATAAGGAGTTTTTTGTTTGGAGGTTGACAATTTTAATTACAAGAAGCAACGATCAGCTACACTTTAAGAATAATATTTGAAATTGAAAACTGTTTTTTTTGTAGTTTAATGCGTCTACAAGAGCGGGGACACGTTCGCGCGGCGCAGGGCCGTGTGGGGGGGGCCGAGCCGGCTTGCTCGGGGCGAACGCCGCGCGCCCTCGCACTGGGTCAGGCCGCGCCCGCTTTCGCCCTGCTCGCAGAGGCCGCACTGCTCAGCATGCTCATCTTATTTATTGAAATATTGTGGTACAGGTTAGTTAACTTGACATGGACGAAACTTGCTCGCTATACTGTTAACTATAAATGGCATTTTTATAGATTCACAACAGAAAAATCAAAGAAGAAACGGAAGCTAGGAATGCAAAAAACTACCTTCAAGGTCAAATCAATTAGGATCCAAATGTAATCATCATTTTAGGTTTACTTATCTACGTATCTTTTTAAAGCAATGCTTTTAAAATGTAGAAAGTGTATTAAGTTGTTGCTTTTAATTTAATTACAATAAATTTAATATCAATTTCTTTTGTCTTTTTCCTGCCGCCTAATATATTACTCACAGTCACAAACACTTCACATAGTCTGGATAGCTTCTTCAACATTTTATTGTGTCAATTCAGATGGTGGATGTAGTTTTTTTGGTTTATTTATGTACACTTATACGGTGAAATTTAAAAAAGTAACTCTGTCCAAGAGCCGGAGAGCGCATTGAACATTCACCCCGACACTGAAAGTGTCTGACACAAAATTATTGTTTGAATGCAAGTAAAAAACGACAACATGAAAAGCGCATTGCTCGTGGCTGAGTGCGCCCTCATGGACCTTATTGTAGATACTAATGAGGTCCTCTCCTGTGCGGTTTGAAATGAACATCATCCGCGAGGTGGCGCCACACCTCACACCGCCTCACCTCACCTCACCTCACCTCACCTTTATCGCCCTTGACGTGTGACTAAAGTTTTAATGGTAACTTGCATGTTTTGTCTAAATAAATGCTGTATTTCAAAGTATACTAAATTAAATTGTACTTACAAGTTTTATTCTACACTTTACAAAGTTCTAATTAAACAATCAACCTATGTTAATATATTTAAATACGAATAATACAAATTAAAAAGGCGTCGCAATGAAACAATACACTCGACAGATCCCCAGATCGTGAACAAGAGCAGTGGAGTAATCGAGTTAATTGAACACTTTGCGCTCGATTACGCTGTTCCACCAAATTAAGCGGCCCTCTAGTCCTACACCTTGGAACGAAACAATTCAATGTCTTTACTGATTTTTCCTGTTAACCGTTTGCTTTCTTTATCTAATTTAAATATTTAACATCGATTTAAAATTAATGCGACAAATTACGAATTGACAATAACAAAACGAATAACTAAGGGTGAGTTGCATCAAATCGCCGGTTATCGTAAAAGTTATAGTTATAGTTAATAGGGTTACAAGTGCAAAAACATATTCTCACAGAGGTTTTATGTGTTTTTCGTTTTTACAATGGAAACATTTAAACCTGAATGTCACTAAAGTGTCAAGTTGGTGTCAAGAATGACATTTACGTAAATTATAATGTTTGGAAATTCATGTTTCGCCGATTATGTTTATGTATTATACGCATGGTATTTTATAGTGACATAAACTCTTTGCCCACGGAGATGGAGAAAATGGCAAACTCTTGTGAAAATAAACTAGTTTGGGCCATTATTGAAACTGTTTTTACTTTACTACTCAAATATGTAGCAAAAATGAAGCAATAAAATTATACAAATATAAATGCATCTTATTTATTTTCCATATTATAAATTGTCCTCTCAATGCATATTATAAATTGTCCTTTTATGGAGGACATTTTTTTAAATAAGAGAAAAGGGACAAGCGCTGTTGCTATGGCCTTAGACACTCGAAATTTGTACAAACTGAATGTTTGGCCAAATTTCGAGTTCCATCTTGGAAATCCATTATTTCCGAGCATGTAAGACTTTATTCTTCTGGATTACGTATAGGATAATAGTAGAGATATTCTTTTTCCATTACTTTTTCCATTATTTGTACTTTTGAAGATAAGAGCTTGTGACAGTTGACACTACCGAACTGACACTAACCGTAACGCTAACTATAACCGCCCAAAATCGGGCGGTTATGATTAGTGTCAAATATGACGTCATTTTGACCAGCGCAAAATTGGTGTAGCGAATATCATGAACATCCGTAGACGTAACCATCGGGAATGTGCTGGTTAAGGTTTATAGTTAGTTAATGTAACTCATCCTTAGCAAATTTTAAGGTTATTCCAAATATTACCATTACAAATAATTTTAACTTTAACGGTAACCGGCGATATGGTGCAACCCACCCTAAGTAATTTAAATTATATCAATATAATTTCTATTGCCTGCAAATACGAGGCAATTCCATTTGCAGGGTGATATGATACGATATCTCCTGATATCCGCCGATTACCTTCGATATCTCTGACCTACTGATACACGGTTGTCATCAACTTGATAAACATGTTTCATTTAGACAATAAATTAAAATACAATCTGTAACAATCATTATTAAGGTTAATGAACAATTTGTAATGAATTTCGTACTATAGTGACACGGTCGTCTTTTGTTTTTATTTATAACAGTGCATGTTGTGTACGTATTTGGATAATCTTTTGCGTATGCTCCTCGCTACTGCCGGCAATCTGTCGTAGTTTTCAACTATAAAGACATTGCTGGTTTCTGTCTTTCTATCGAGATATCTCGTTATTAAGTATTAATGGACTTGCACTTATAATAAATAGAAATGAAGTCCATAAGGGGATAAAATCTTTTAATAAATTAGGTCGCACTTTGTTCCTCTCTGCAGTGAATTATGTTAATTGCTGAGGCGTAAGAGATTTAATTGCGACTTCTTTCTCCTATTTCCAATTTATATTGAAGCAAAGCTTTACAATTTTCTTTGTTCAATCTTTTGAATTTATCTGTTGTACAGAAAAGAAAGTTTAATAACCTTTATTCACTTTAAAAAATTATAGTTTCATAATTTAAACTGAGTAACCAGAAACACTCCGTTCTTGAGATAGTGTTTAAAAATCCATACTAGTTTAAAAAGATATATTCCCATCGATACTACAGAGAATAATAAAATAGAAACGATAATAATTATTTAAATGTATATTTTATTTGCTATAAGCAAATATATTTTTTAAAAACCGTCCTATAGAATTCGGTGTGTACTAACCGAGCCTTTAGATTTATTGGTCGCGTGGGAAATTCGTGACGTGGTCCGACTGCAAAAACGTACGTATTGCTTAAAGAGCGACTCTGACACACTACACTTTGTTCATATAAAAGAATTGTATTTGTTGGTGTCTTTTACATTGAAATATTTTAACACAGACACCACGTATGCGGCATGTCTCACTTTCAAGTAAATTCACACTTGTAACTTGTACATTTAAAATAACATATTTATGAGGATATAGATTTAACATTCCAACTATTGGAAATACTTTTCTTATTAAGTTTATTAAGATTTAATTATTCTAATAAAATTCAAAACCAGGTTGAATTAAAATAGTGAACGCACAATGTTCGAGTAAAGCTAACATTTGTATTAAATAAGGCTTCTTCGAGTGGTTTAATTAAGTGGATAGTTGTGAGGCGAGACGAGAAGATAATTGAATTCCAGCAACAGCTCTCCAGCGCCCTCTTACGTGCAACTTAGCTTGTGTGTGCTCTACGGCTCCGGCGGCTCGTTTACACACGCATTATAATGTACTCCAACTGCGCTACGCAGTTATGTCGATTTTACAATTGACATTTCAAATATTGATATATTCTTATTAAAAATATTTTACACATTGCAAGAACAAAGGGCAGGAAGATAGCCAATTATGATCATACTTCAATTGAACAAAGAATTCAGATATAAAATAGCACATTCATAATGTAAGTAAAATTCTTGTAGTTTTATTTAGATGCGGCTGTCGAGGCGCAGCAGCACGGTGACTATTAATATCAATGGCATCGCATAAATAACAATCGAGCAGCCGCCTTTGTGGGGCGAGGGGGCGCGGGGGCGCCGGACACGCGGCATTCAATAAAACATCGACAGCAAAGAAAAATTCACATTTATTACAACTTCCAGCAAATACTTTGATATTAATTCTTGGTAATAAATAAAAGTGTCGTACTTTTAATATTTATTTTAATCTTGAGAATCCGTATCCGACGAACGGTACTTAAAGTAGAAAACAAAAGTAGGAAAATAAATAAAAAGCAACTTACGTAGAAGTAGACTCTTCATAACAAAAAATTTAAATCTGGCGTGTACAAGTAGTTGAATTTTGTAAACCTAAAAATCAATCAATATTATTATTATTTTATTGAACTTCTACAGAATAAAGGTCACAGGAGTTGTTCGATAAATTTTAGTTGGCATGGAATAAGAGTAAAAACGATATTATGTATTCAAAATTTGTTTGATAAAGTTCACCAATAAATTTCGCAGATAGTCATAAAATGAATTTTATAAGTTAGTAAGCACGAGTTCAGTTGACTGTTATTTATTATGCCGCAGAAGTTTTCTGCTGCGGCTAAAGTAGTTTGCTGTGACCCTAATTAAAAACTTTGATGAATTTGCAACAACTGGTTTCCTTAAGTTTCGAAAGGTATAAAACAAATTATGTGAATGCCTCCAACAAAATCTCAACGGAAGCAAAAAAAAATAGGATTTTTAAAATGTGCGATATGGGATAACCTATGCAAAGACATATGGCTCTATTTCGCTCTAAATGATTTATTAAAAAGAAACTATTCACACAAACAAAGCCTTGAAAGAAGTAAAAAACGTATAGTAAATATTTGTATCTTTAAAATAAAGCAGATTCCCTGAAGTGCCTAACTTGTATGTTCAAAGTAAAAAGTTAAGTGGCCGTTACCCGCGACGAATTCTCTTTGCCGCAGACTAACCGAGCGTTTTGTTCCTGAAAGTGCCGTCTGCTCACCCCACACCCTGCAACCCTCGGCCCGTACACCGCACACCGCACCCCCCACCCCGCATCACACGTCCTGTTGCCAAAGTGCAGTAGAACATATTCCGCAACTGAAAATAGTATAATTTTAACTCTTTGATAAACGAAATAACCACAACTCAGATGATATCTTTAACAAAATAAATTAGTCTATTGTACTGTTTATCACTGACATTATATAGATCATAGACAGAAATTAGAAGTATTGGATATGCGACATTATTTTCACATGTGATACTCGATTACATTGAGAAATTACTTAGATGGAAAATGTATATATCGTGGTAAATTATTATTTATTTTTGTTGTTAAACATTATTATTGATAGTTCAATAATATTGTGATAACGACCCAAGAAATAAACGAAATTGGCTGCAGT